CCCTTTGGTGGGGGATGGACTTCACTTAACACCTGCTCAGCCTACTAGACCCAGGTGAGACTGATTTTCATTGGGTGGTATTCTCTGACCCTCAGCTCCCTCCTCTGTGCTCACACAGCATGAGTGGGTTTCTCCCTGAGGTACGGAATGTGCTGGTTTCTCCTTCTGCCCCCATTTTCCACCCCCTGAGACTGTGAGCTCTAGGAAAACAAAAATGCTATCTTATTCATGCTCATGTATCCAGCACCTAGCACAGTGCCAGGCACATAGAGCTAAGCAGGGCTTATGGAACTAAATTCTCTTCATTGGCTGAGAGCACTACAAAGTTGAAATCAGTGTATAGTTATATGAAGGTGATTCTGCCTAAGTCACCATAAGACATTTGGAAATTCTCTGCAATGTGCTCAGCAAAAAAAAAGAATAAAAAAAAGAAAAAGAAAAAATCTTCCCCTTCATTTATTCAATAATTTTTTAAATTTTTAATGTTTTTTTAATTATCTGAGAATTTTAAATCCATGGTGCAGGAAGTTCATTTGTGTGTTTATTGACCAAAAAAAGGAAATTAAGAAAAAATATTTATCTATGTCTTAGATTTAATGTATCCTTTACAGATATAAGTTCATTTTCTTCATTTCAGAACATAGACATGCATTTTACATAAACTTAAGTTGACTTATAGAAGCATCTGTCTCCCTGATTGACTCTAAACTTTCTGAAAGCAGGACTCATCTCATGCTTCACTGCATCCCAGATCCTAGCGTGACATGGAGACTTAGTAGAAGCTCAGTGTGTTAGAGCAGCACTGGGTTGCATCAATAGGTGCATTAAAGATATGATACTCGGCTGGGGGCGGTGACTCACACCTGTAATCCCAGCACTTTGGGAGGCCGAGGTGGGCAGATCATGAGGTCAGAAGTTTGAGACCAGCCTGGCCAATATGGTGAAACTCCCATCTCTACTAAAAATACAAAAATTAGCTGGGTGTGGTGGCGGGCACCTGTAATCACAGCTGCTTGGGAGACTGAGGCAGGAGAATTGCTTGAACCTGGGAGGCAGAGGTTGCAGTGAGCCAAGATTGCACCACTGCACTTCAGGCTGGGTGACAGAGCAAGACTCCATCTCAAAAAAAAAAAAAAAAAAAAGGTGCGATACTCCAAGGGAAACTTCCCCAAATTTGTTTTTCCAGTAACTTGCTCCAAATATTCCATGATCAAAACTATCAGATTCACTATACCTATAAAATCTTCTTTGACTGTTAGACTATGATTTCACCAAATCCCCTGCAGCACATGGGAAAATGAACTTTATCCTGTGGAAAAGCAATTCAGACGGGAGCGGTTCTTTCCTCATGAAATGAGACAGCATAAGATCATAGGACAGGTATGCAGGTAGACAGAAGATAGATGATAGGTAGATAGACAGATAGGCATACATGATAGAGATTGATAGAGCAAATTTGATTTTAGAATTGTTTTGGATTTACAGAAAAGTTGTAAAGATAGTACTGGGAGTTCCCATATGCCTCACCCCTGCTGTTAACATCTTGCATTGCTCGGATATATTTGTCACAACTAATAAACTGATGGTGATAAATTGTTATTAACTATAGTCCATGCTTTATTTGGATTTCTTTTCTTTTCTTTTTATTTTTATTATTTTTTTTTTTTTTTTTTTGAGATGGAGTTTCATTCTTGTTGCCCAGGCTGGAGTGCAATAGTGCAATCTTGGCTTACTGCACCTTCCGCCTCCCAGGTTCAAGCAATTCTTCTGCCTCAGCCTCCAGCTGGGATTACAGGTGCCCACCTCCACACCCAGCTAATTTTTTGTATTTTTAGTAGAGACAGGGGTTCACCATGTTGGCCAGGCTGGTCTCGAACTCCTGACCTCAAGTGATTCACCCGCCTCAGCCTCCTAAGTGCTGAGATTACAGGCATGAGCCACCTCTCCCAGCCTGGATTCCTATCTTTATATTTTTAAGCTCACTGTTTTGCAATAAATTGTGTGTGTGTGTGTGTAGAGAGAGAGAGAGAGAGAGAGAGAGAGAAACCACCCACCCCAAAGAATCACTTTAGTTGTGGTTACCTTCTCCTCAGGCAGGCTGGCTGGCAGATTTAGATCTTTGACATTGGGAAATTCTGGCAGCAGCGTTCCGAGTTTGGACCGGGGTGAATATGCCACTGTCTGTTTGCTCACTTCTTTCTTGCCTGTCTCACTCACCCAGGCGGCTCCTTTCTTGGAATACATCACATCGTAATATTGGGAGCTTTCTTTCACTGCAATGCCATAGTAATGGTACCTGGGCCACAAGGGGAGGGAGAGAGAGAGAAAAAAAAAGAGAGAGACCAATATGCACTATTATTAAGTGAGGTTTCCTGAGTAGGGGGTGTTGCCCAAGGCCAAGGAAAGCTGGGGCCATCCTACCTGGGGATAGAAGAGTTAACTCTCCTGTAAGGCTAAAATCTCTGAAATACAGAATTGAAACAAAGTGCCAGCCATCAATCAGGCAGGTAAAAATAACCAAAATTGCCTCCTACAGAAAACGTTAAGTCAAATACTTTGCAAAGCAGAGAGGGGACGAAAAATTTTCCATTAGTACTTGATCTCTCATGTCTAGCCAAATGGGATCCCAGCACTTGAGTGTCCCTTCTCTGTGGGGACCCAAGCAGGATACGTTTGTGACTACTAACTGTACCTCCAATAAAAATTCATTTGGCCTTTGTTTTTCTTTTCTATTTTTTTGAGACAGAGTCTTGCTTTGTCACCCAGGCTGGAGTGCAGTGGTGCAATCTCAGCTCACTGAACCTCCACGCCTCCTGGATTCAAGAGATTCTCCTGCCTCAGCCTCCCAAGTAGCTGGGATTACAGGCATGCGCCACCACACCTGGCTAATTTTTGTATTTTTAGTAGAGATGGCATTTCACCATGTTGGTCAGGCTGGTCTCGAACTCCTGACCTCGTGATCTGCCCACCTTGGCCTCCTAAAGTGCTGGGATTACAGGCGTGAGCCACCATGCCTGGCCTTGGCCTGTGTTTTTCTTAATTAAAATGTGGTAGTCTCAAAGAACTGTATTTTTAAAAAGGTAAATTCAGTGCTTCCGTTGACACTGAATGTAAAACGGAGACCAGAACTTTTTATTAACTCAAAATGGGCTTAATATTAGCAATGTTTTCAATTAAGACTAACAAGGGATTGGAGGCTGCATTTTGTTTAGATTTTAGCTATAATCTATTGAGCACTAGCTATATGCCAGGCACTTTGCAAAGGATTTTGCATGCATCAATTTATAAAATAACCAATAATGGAAATGATTACAGTCTTTCTACACATGAGAACCTGGAGCCAAGAAAGCTCAAATAATTTGTTTAAGGTCATATAGCTGTTTAGGGGAAGAACAGGTTCTTGAACACAGACAGGTCTTTTTGACTACGAAGTCACAGTGCTATCCTACTGAAAACACTGCAAGGTGATCTTATAAACTTTGATTTTTATCAGAATCATTTATAAAATTTAATCAAAATACAGATTCCTGGGCCCTCTCTCAGGACCTACTGATTCAGAACATCTGGGAATGGGGCCCAGGAATCAGTAGTGAATCCAGCACCACAGGGGTAATTCTAAAGCACATCAGTTTGAGATCTCTGGTACTGAGTGCTTGACACACATTATCTTATTTAATCTCACAAAATCCCCATAAGTCTGGAATTAATTATTATCCCCATTTTTATAGATAAAGAAACTAAGGCCCAGAGAATTTAAGTCTCACACCCAAGATCACCCAGTGAGTAAGTAGCAGAGGCAGAATTTGAACCTCCCAAGTGCTTTGAACCACTAAGCCAGTGAGTCTCAAACTTTACAACTAATAAGAATCACCTACAAAACATATTAAAATATCCCTGGTAGTCTAGTGGCTAGGAATAAAAGAAGAATAAAAAATATATATATGAAAATAGAGACTCCTGGGCCCTGCCCCACCCTTAAAGATTCCTGTTTAGTAGGTCTAGAGTAGATTTTCACAGTCCCATGGCAATATAGATGTTAGGTCATCCATGGACCTCGCTTTCAGAAACACTGCACAACATATTAACTACTTTTCTCTACCCGTGGAGATACGATGAAAGTCACAAAATAATACAGATGAGAAGGCATTTTGAATTATGGGAAAGGCTTTCACGAGGAGGGAAGAGATGAGCACGTCAAAACCTTCCCTCTCCCCAACCCTCCTTTACTCCTGATACCATTCCGTGATATTTCTGCTTAGTGGGCATCTTGAATCTATGTGAATGCCTTCTGGGATGAAGAATTCAGACCCTCCGAAGGCAGCCCAGTTCATTTTGCCAGTGTGGTTATCAGAAAATTCTTCTTTGTGCTGAGCAAAGTCTGCCTTCTGTGCCTTCCGTGTCTTCCACTACTTCCCAACTGTCATAACTGCCTTTCCACCTGGAAGTCACTCCGTGGGTGGGGGAGGAGGGGGGTTCCGGTGGCTTCAGGTGGGATGACAGTTATGACACACCACCCTAACCTTAAAAAGTTCACCTTTATAACTTCTTAAGAGCCAGATTATTTAGTATGTTCAGACCAGACCACTTCTTGACTATTCAGAGATCATGTAGCTAAAATCAACAACCACAGTTAAGCTCCTGCTCTGATCTCAAGTTCTTCTATTTCAGTTCTGTAGGGCACGACAACACATTCCTCACCAGCCACCCCCAGATTTCTTTTTTTTTTATTATTTCTTCTAAAAAAAGAGGGGGGATACATGTGCAGAATGTGCTTTTTTTTTTTTTTTTTTTTTTTTTTCTTTAGACAAGTGTCGCTCTGTTACTCTGGCTAGAGTGCAGTGATGCAATCTCAGCTCACTGAAACCTCTGCCTTTCGGGTTCAGGTGATTCTGCTGCCTCAGCCTCCTGAGTAGCTGGGACTACAGGGGTGTGCCACCACATCTGGCTAATTTTTGTATTTTTTGTAGAGATGGGGTTTCACCATGTTGGCCAGGCTGATCTTGAACTCCTGACCTCAAGTGATCCACCCACCTCGGCCTCCGAAAGTGCTGGGATTAGGTGTGAGCCACTGCACCTGGCCCACCCCCCAGATTTCTTCTGTCATGGTCAATTTGCCAAGGGAGTTTCTCTATAAGGCCATGATGCAGGTTGGAGACAAGAGCTTCTTACTGCCTTTCAACTGGTCAAAGGTGTGATCAACTTTGGAGTATCCTTATGGAAGAGGATACAATAAAATTGATTATACAGAATTTTTAAAGAAGATATTGCCCAATTTGCCAACCTCGAGGTTAAAGAAAAAGAAAAACAAACAAAACAAAAACAGACTCTCCCATGTGGACAGAAGGAAGTTTTCTCTGTTTATACAGGATGGGAAACTTTTCTGCTGTCTCTTTACTATTGCTACTCTTCTTAGAAATGAGTAACAAAGGTATTGGAGCCACTGATTTCTCAAAGACCAAGAGCTAGAGGAAAATAATTCATTTTCATTTATTCCATATCCTTCTATCCATCCACTCTTCTGTTTGACCAACATTTTGAATTGACTACTATGTGTTCACCAGCAAACAAGGAAGAATCTGGCTTTTGTAATCTATAATCGTACCAAGGCTTAAACCTTACTTTTAAACAAATACCAGAATTTTAAAATTATAACTGAGGCTTTTTTTTTTTTTTTTCAGAATAGTCATCTTGGAAAATTATTAGGAATTTATTCCAAGAGGTTCTTTGTTCAATAGTCTTCTGGAAATCCCTTTAGAGACTGATTCTAGAGCTTCTGAGCCACACCAAAAAAATTAGTCTCATTATTTTCAGAACTTTACCAAAAAAGGGTTCTTCCCAGTTTGATCAGCCATTTTCTTTCCCTACCTTGGCTCCAAAGTCAAACCCACCCTTGGAGGATGGGAATGTGCTGCCCAGGGATGAGAGGAGCTGTTGACAGACAGGGGTTTGGCCCAGGGTGAGAGCACTGGACATGCTTCTGACACATCCTTCAAGACAAGTCTTATAAGTCCTATATGGTTGCCTTTCTAAAAACTTACAGTGTTTTATAGGTCACTATGTGCTGACCTGCTCAACATGGTCAAAATGCTTAGACATGCTGCATAATAAGGCACCCTCTAGTGGAGTCACCTTGTACATTAGCATAATAAGGGTTCTGAGAAGTCTTGCAGTAAAGGAAACTGTTAAACTTAGTGTTTACCAAACTTAAAGGGCCTGCTGCTCTTCTTCATGGAACACCTATTATCATCCAACAATTTTTGAAACATCCTTAGAGGCAAGTCCTATAAATCCAGATTTTCATGAAGGCCGAGCAGTACAGGAAGAGATTCCCTTCCCACGGACTCACACCCAGCAGACAAGTGTCTGCACAGCCTTCTGCGCTCCCCTGCTCTTTTCTTCAATGTAACCTCCTCCGAAAGACCTTCCCTAGTCATTCCTCTTTTGTTGCTCTCTGCTACAACTTTCTTTGTCACAATCTGATTCTCGGTTTTGTCTGTGTTTCCCACCAGAATGTAGGCTCCATGAGGGCAGCAACTGATTTGCTCCTGTGTTCCCAGTACCTAGCACCACATATGTGACACACAGAAAGTATAAAGCATGAGTTGGTTGGTTGCTTGATGAAACTGATGAGTGGGAAGCCATGAGCCCTCATGGACCATGGTGCAGCTGCACCTTTCTGCCCCATCTCCCATGCCGGGAATAGCACAGTTTTGCTTCTCTGGTCTACTGGATACTATCAGAGCAGAGTTTGCTCAGCAAAACAGTCCAGATAACCTGGTGATCATCCAAGAAGCCACAAGGCAATCCTTTCAAAGATGCCCAAGACTATTTTACAAAATATGCCTAAAAACAGGGTGGTATAAAATCAGATTCCTTAAAGCAGCAGAGCCAACTCATCTTGGGCTTTTGGACAACCTCTCTTTCAGGAGTCCTGAGAGAGGGGCCCTGGCCATCATAAAGCTCCTCCATATTCCCTCTAGGCACAGACTTCTGCCAGGCCTGCAGACAGAGCTTAGGATAAAGAACCAAAGGTCTGGCCTGTCTCAAGGCCCATAGATGTGCACTCTGCAGGTGGAATGGCCGTCCGGTGCTTACTTTGACTGTCCTCGGGTCCCGAGTCTTCTGGTGGTTAACTGAGGAAACTGCTGCCTTATGATCTGTAAGTCAACACAAGAATCAGTTACCCATTGGGAAGAGTTGGGAGCACAGTGACTGAGTTATACAAACAGCCATCTACAGAAGGGAGGAAAACATAGGTCCTTGGTTGCAATGACTTAATAGGAGTCTGTGAGGACCCTGGAGAAGACTACTGGTGTCAGAGTGGGGAGTGCTTGGATGGTTGTGGGGCTCTGGATACTAAAGGGGTCACACTTGGCCACTCTGTGCTTCACCCCCTCCTACTCACAATGGAAGGAGAATTCTGGTTGGTCTAGAACATGCCGCTCCCCTGTTTAAAACCCTCCAGTGGTTTCCATGGCACCTGGAACTAAAACCCAAACTTAGCCTCTGTAACTCATCCTGCTTACCTGGCCGCCTTCTCTTACAATTCTCACCTTTACTCACCAGATCCCAGCCACACTGGCTTTTTATTGTTTTCTCTATTACTGAAACACATGGGCATTGCTCCACATGGTGGGGTGGCAGGGAGGGGGGCTTTGTACTACAGCCAGGAGTGGAATTTCACTCAGCTCTTCACAAGACTGCCTCCTCTTAAACCATTCAGGCGTCTGGACAATGTCCATCTGCCCAGAGGTCTTCTCGACCAGCCAGTGTGGAGTACCACAAGGGTCACATGGCCCTGCTTTGTCTTCTTATCACTTAGCACTATCTGAAGTTATCTTGTTCCCTTACTCTCTGGGTGCTTAGTTTATGTCTCCTCCTACTTGAACACATGCTCCATGAGAGCAAGGACCTCATGCAGGGTTTGGCACATGCAAAGACCTCAATCCACATTTGTTGAATGAGGGAATGAAAGCCTGGGGGTATCTTTTTTCTGTCTGCAGAGCAGAGGATGATAATTGCTGTTGCCCAGGACAGCCACATCAATTCACAAGAAATCTGTGAAGAGAGAGCATCTCTCAAGGTGAAAACACAACCATGGGGCGCCTTTCCTTGGGGTTTAAGGAGATGATGTTTGTGGAGAGGCATGACTGGGCAGGGGTTACAAGCAAGAACTCTGGAACTCAACTACCTGAATTGAATGCAAGTTCAGGCATTGGTTAGGCTGGGTGCCCTTGGGCAAGTTATTTAGCATCCACATGACTCCCCATTTGTAAAATAGGAATGATAATAACCTCTAGAGTTATTGTGAAATTTAAAAAAGTGAATGTATGTAAATGGCTGGCAGTAGTGCCCGGCAGTTAGTAAGTGCTTAATAAATGTTACCCATTATTACCACTGATTGTCCTGATGACCCTTTTACTTCCAGGGATTTTTCGAATGTAACAAAGACTCCCTTCCCTCCTGGTACAGCATTGAGCAGGCATGCATGGTCAGAGAGAGTAAGCCTTCATGAGAAGAGATGCTGTTGCTGATTTCTTATTGGTAGGGTATAAGCCTTGAGTGTTTTCTCTAGGGATGGGGGTGAATCTCTATTCATCTATTCACCCCTCTTTTATCCACATCAATACTCTCATTGATTGATTTACTCACTCACTCAACAAATATAGACTATGACCCTGTTAGCTGTTTGAACTTGGACATACTATTTAACCTCTCTGTGCCTGAATTTCCTCCTGTGACATTTGAGGACTAAGGGGTTGTGTAGTCTTCCCCTAATCGGAGGGCTAGGTGTTGGTGATCTCAACTAAAATGGCATCAGTGGGATCGACAGAAGTGCACAAATTAGCGAGAAATTGAGAACCTTGAACAGGTAGCAGGAAGACTGACCATTTCTCTACACTGGGGAGCTGACCACGTCCAGTGTGGAGAATGGGTGGGGCAGCATTTCAGTATCTGAAAATGGTCGACAAAAAGATGCACCTCACAAGAATGTTTAGAGAATCTAATGTGGTAGCATCATGAAACCACTTTTGGAAGTAAAAAGGCCTTTAAAATACCATCTTGTGGTGATAATACTGAACAAAATGATGCAACAAGTCTCTGAATTCTTTAAGGGTACTACTTTGTAGGCAATAAATCCCCTCTCTTTAACCCTGCCTTTTGTAAACTGAGGATCCAAGCTTTTTACTTTATGTCCCTCTCAAATTGTTGTGACCTGAGTAAAAGGCAGTGATTCAAGATGGGGTCAGTAACAGTGCTCTTTAAACACCTTGTCTAGCAGTGCTGCCTAAGACTGCATCCAGGTTTAGTGGCCTCATCACCTTGGATTTATATTAACCTGTAGCCAAGCCCTTCAGACTTTCATCATATGAATGGCTTCAGAGCCAGGATTTGAAGCAGCTGTTCACAAAGGCACACTACTGAACAGACTAGACATGCTAATAGAGATAGAAAGAAAACAAGGGAAGCATAAAAATTGAGCCAGGGGATTTTTCACATTGGTTGAAAGTGGGTTCTGAGTTTCCTAACCACCCAAGCAAAGAAGATAACACAAAAGAGTGCCGAGAGTCCCAGTATCAATATAAGTCCAAACTAGTACCTTAGAAAAAGTAGAAATTTTCCTATGTTTAGGTCTGGAAAATTTCTACTATACAAATGGACACAACAGTAAAATATCATATTTTTTGTTTTCTGTTTTTCTGAGACAGGGCCCCCACTCTGTCGCCCAGGCTGGAGTGCAGTGGCACGTCTCGGCTCACTGCAACCTCCACCTCCTGGGTTCAAGTGATTCTCCTGCCTCAGCCTACCAAGTAGCTGGGACTACAGGCGCCCACCAATACAACTGGCTAATTTTTGTATTTTTAGTAGAGACAGGGTTTCACCATGTTGGCCAGGCTGGTCTTGAACTCCTGACCTCAAGTGATCCGCCCACCTCAACCTCTCAAAGTGCTAGGATTACAGGTATGAGCCACTGCGCTCGGCCAGTAAGGCACCATGTTTAACCCTCTGTTATTCACAGACATTTTGGAAAGGATAATATTCAGTGCTGTCAAGGCTGTAGTAAAACTGGAATACGCAGATGGCTGATGATGTAATTTATTAGCACAACCCTTCCCCAAAGCATTTTTAAAATACATAAGAAGCCATAAAGTACTCATATTTTTGACCTATTAATTCCAAGGAAATAATCTACAATAAGAAAAGCTAAATGTGAGGCTACAAATGAGAGTGAAAAATTTGAAACAACATAAAAGTCTAATGATAGGAGGCTGTCTAAAAACATGATAGCATATATACACCCTGTAGAAATTATGAAATAGCCATTAAAAATGATGGTAACAAAAACTGTGTCACAATACAGAAAATGCTTATAATGTTAGATGAAATAGCAGATCTCAATCTATGTTTATGTTATATAACAGAATTACTTATAAAAATATAGGAATAAACAGGTAATGTGGTAAAATGAAAGTGGATATTCATTAGGGTATTGGGATTGTGGGTAGAACAAAAAGAGTTTGTATATTTATGTACTAAATCAACTTTTTGTTTTTTGCAAATAGAAAAGGATTTCCTTGTTGAAATAACAATGAAAGTTCAAGATAATCTCGGAAGAAGCACCTAAAATCTACCAGAATGTTATGTTGGTTTTTTTTTTTCTTTCTTTCCTTTTTAAAAAAATAAATCATTTCCTATTTTCTATAAACAATATGTAGATAATTAAAGAAAGCAGCATTGTTTTGTTTGGTTGCTAAGTCTTATGATTACTTAATTTAAGAGACTGGGCTAAGTTCTGAAATCTTTCTAAGTGTTTATCCAAATGGTATCCTACATAACATCTATAAAGCAACACAGGCCAAGCCCCTGATGCCTGGCCCTAGGTTAAGGTACCAGGGGTTGCTGACTATATTATAGAGATGTGCCAGAAGGCCCCTGGGGAATGACTGGCCTTCTGGAGCCATTTGTTCTACCCCTGTGAGGCAATAACATGTACAATCAGTGTGTTTATAATTCTATGCACTGTGATCTTGAGGAATTACCAAGCCATAGCATGGGGCCTGGGAATTCACGGATCAATTCAATCTATGACTCCCTTCATTCCTGATGTTTTTTACTTATTCTTTTTGAGTAATGTATAGATCAATACATGCAGTTTTAGAATCTGTGTGACCAGCATCAACCTCCGCTGAGTTACCCAAGACAGAACAGGAGAGTCCTCCCTGACTCCTCTCTTCCTAACACTGCACAACCCCTACTGATTCTGCCTTCAGGATGTCTCCCGAACTTAGCCCCTTCTCTCTATCTGCCCTTACCCCCACTACTGCACTAGTCCACTGTGATCTCTCACTGCTTGGACCACACAAACATTCTTCTAACTGGTTTCCCTGCCACCAGTCTTGTTGCCTCACCAATGGGATTTGTTTCTTAAATTTTTTTGAGACAGGGTCTCTCGCTCTGTTGACCAGGCTGGAGTAGTAGTGCTATCCTAGCTCACTGCAGCCTTGAATTCCTGGGCTCAACAGATCCTCCTGCCTCAGCCTCCAGAGAAGCTAGGACTATGGGTACATGCACCACACCCGGCCTCAGCAGCAGGATCTTTCTAAAATGCCAGTGTGATCATTCACTTCCTCATTGAAAATGCCGGGTGTCTTCTCGCTGCCCACTCTGAATAAAAATCCAGTCTCCTCAGGCTGGTCCATGAGGCCCTCTGTGATCAACTCCCACCCAGCTGCCCAGCCTAAAATCCAGCCACTCCCCAGAGCTCCAGGCTCATGTTGCTCCCACATCCACAATGCTGTTCCCTGTGCCTGGAATGCCAAGGCCACACTGTTTCCACTCACCCCCAAGGAACTCCCTAGCTTTCTCGGAGCCTTTCCCACTTACCCTGTGGCCCTTCTCATGCAACCTTAGCTGCCTCCTTTCTCTGTTTTCCTAGTGAATTGGGAAACTGTGGTATACAGTGGTTAGGCACACAGGCTTCGAAGTCAGGCTCACCCACGTTCCAGTCCTGGCTCAGGCACTGTGCTAACCACTTTACGTGTATTATCTCAGTTGATCATCACAATTCAGTGCCAGGTTCCACTGCTATTCCCTCGGTATAGATGAGTAAACTGAAGCTTAGAGAGGCTAAGCAACCTGCACAAAGCCACACAGCTCAGATGCAGACCTACGATTCGAATGCATCCAGTCCGACTTAACACTCTACCACCACAATGTTACGGCTTTCCGGATGAATGAAAATGTCCCCAAGCCTCTCATTCCTTCCTTTAACAGCAACCTTTCTTTCTTTTATGTCATATTCCTGCATTTACACATTGGGTGTGTTTGAGGAATGAAATGATTTCTCGTTCTTATCGACTCTTCAGTGAAGATTTATGTTCTCTTCTTTTCACACTGACCCTCTTGGAAATGTCCTGGTGGCCTCTGCTATGAACAGGATCTGAGGGCCCTGCACCCAATAGGCTAGGGAAGGTGGGAAGCAGCTGAGGGGATGGTGACATCAGCAGGCAGCCCCGTGTCTCCTCCTGGATGAAATTTACCTGCATCCACTCAAGTGGCAATCTGGCAGTGAAACGCTCCTGCTTAATAAAATGCTAATCAAAAATCATTGTTTGCATAATTGAGGTCCCCAAGTAGGTTTACTGAAGGAATGATCCAGATCATTACCTGTCTACCTAAAGGCCTCTGGCAATTCTCCATGGTCACCTGACTTAGCAGAGGTTCTCTTGATTGAAACTCAGACACCACTCTTTGCTTCCATCTTTTCTCCCTAAATTTCCTTCCATGAACTCGAGGTTCTGTCCAAGTCAGACTACTTGGTGCTGCACTATTCCCTGAATGCTGCTTCCCAGGCCCATACCTCTGCACTTTCTACCCTCAACTCTCTCTCCCTCCTTACTACCTGCGCCCTCAGAGCCTATCCAGCCACCCAGCATGCACTCCGCTGCTCTATGAGCCTTTCCCCGTTACCTGACCACACCAGAGCTCGCCCTTCCTCAAACCATGATTGTACGTGCCACTTGTACATGCCACTTCCAACCTGTGACCAAGTTCTACCCTCTATCTTCATATCCTGATTCTACCCATATCCTCCTATCTCCATGCATCCCAGGACCATGGTCTTGCACCTGGATTGCTGCAATGGTCTCACTGGCCCTGCTTCCTGTCATGCCCCGTCACGACCACTTCTCCATGAAGCCTCTAGACAGAATCCAGACCCACCAGGTCCTGCCTGATTGGCCCTGCCTTTGTTCCAGCTTACCTCTCCCCTTCCTCTCCCAATTCCTGTGCTCTGGCCATACGCAATGGAACTTCTTCCAAGTTTCATGAACACACTGTGTTCTGTCTTACTCTGGCCCTTCCCACAGGATGTTCTCATTGTCCAGAGCCCTTTCTTCACACACTTTTTCTGCCTAATGTGTACTTATCCTCACATCTCAGCTTGTACCTTATTTCCTCCCAGAAACTTTCCCTGAGCCACTTGTTTGGGTGACCATAGTTATGCAATCCATTGACTCTTTTTTTTTTTTTAATTAAAGTTGACAAAATTGTGTATATTTATGGTGTACAATATGATGTTCTGAAATATGTATACATTGTGGAATAGCTAAATTGAGTTAATTAACATATGCATTACCTCCCATACTTGTTATTTTCTGTGGTGAGAACACTTAAAATGTACCCTCTTAGTAATTTTCTTGTCTTCTTGTTTCTTTTTTCTTCTTTTTGAGACAGAGTCTCACTCGTCGCCCAGGCTGGAGTGCAGTGGCATGATCTCAGCTCACTGAAACCTCTGCCTCCTGGGTTCAAGTGATTCTCGTGCCTCAGCCTCCTGAGTGTTT